CTGACTGCTTCTTAGTAGGGAATGGAGGAATGAATGGGTTTTTGGGACTACTACAGGGGACCTTGAAGGGCTATCATAGGGATCCATTCCCCCATTCCCTGCGAAGAACCAGGGAGCAAAGGATCTTGCGATGATGTTAGAAAACCCTAAACCCTAAACCCTAAACTCTAAACCCTAAACTCTAAACCCTAGAAGCTGTCGAAGTTGCTGCTTTAGGGCTTCGGGGCTGGCCCCCGAGTACAAAACAACATCCCATAGTAGTTAGGGTTTAGGACTTTGGTTTAGGGTTTAGGACCTCGCAAGAACACACGACAAGAGAACGCGGCACGAACGAGTACACAAGGCAGTTTAGGGTTTCGGGTAGGATGACACAACAAGAAGACACACCGCATGAGTTTACGGGCACGAGCATGCAGGAAGCAATGCGAGGCATGAACTGCCGATGTTAGAAAGACACTACCAAGTGAAGCAATCAGACGTACCATGAAGAGGGAAGATGCGACAACACGAAACGAGAAACGAATCGAGGACACGAGATTCAAGGACGGACGATGCGAGGACACCAGAAGAACACAGGATGCATTAGAGAGTGTGAGTTCGGATTAGGGGGACCCTTGAAAATACAGACCTTCGCAATAAGGGTCCCTTGTAAGAGAGTCTGAAATAGGGTTGAGAAGGGTCCTCTTTAAGGGGTCTCCCTAATGCTACCTGGGAGGAGAGGCGCGAGTCATGACAGCAGGAGAGACACGACGCGCCGAGGACGCGAGAGCCGATGCAGGGAGAGGATGAGGGAGAACAGTAACCGAAAAGACCTACCTTTCCCTAAACCCTAAACCCTAAGCCCTAAACAGGAACTATCGTATAGAAACCATAAGGAAGCCAAAAAAGGCAGGTCTTGCCGGTTACGGGTAGGGCTTTAGGGGGGTTTAGACGAAGCGGGTTCGGGTCCAAAAAAGGGAGGAGGATGGCGCATAACAGCGCTGACAACCCGTGGAGGCATTGAGGAGTTCTTGGGTTTAGGGTTTAGGGTTTAGGGTTCCTCTGCACAGCGCACCAGCGAACACTTTGAACAATTTCTGCAAAACGGAGATACTGAAAAGTGCCGCCATTTCACATCTAGTGTGCTGGATCTAGGGTTTAAGGCCTTGCACGTTTTCAATTCGTTCCCGGTTGCCTTCAATGTCAGTCACGAAGGTGGCTGCCACTGGCATCGGCTCAGAAATGCCCGTGCTTTCGATCAACAGGTAGTCGTACTTTCTCTCTGCTGCAATCTTGGTGACCTGACGGAACGAGTACACCAAAGTCAGTAGCATAGAACAGCGGTGCCCAGTAGCAATGGAGAAAGAAAACAACATAGACAAGACATACCAGCAGTGCAAGATTGGTGACATGTTCGATGAGGTCGTCGCGCAAAGTGCAACATATGCAGCCGTTTTGCATCTCGACCATCTTGTCTTGCACATTGAGCACTTGTTCGGATTTGACAAGCATGGCATCTATGTTGACCTCGGCCATGTCGTTCACGATCACGGCCACCCGTAAGCCTTCCAGTCAACTGGGTGTCCATGTGATTCAATGATAACTAAGGCTAAGGTTTGGATGCAACTTGGACTGGTAGAAACCCTAAACCCGAAACCCTATGCCCTAGCAGCTCTCGGTGCGCGGAGCCTTCTTGATTGTGAAGGACATGCGTCAACAAGCTGGTCTTGCCAGCCCCGAGGAAGCCGCTGAGAACCGTCACTGGCAGCCTGGGTTGCTGCTAGGGAACTCAGTCTAAGATACCATAATGAGATTATATTGGAAGTAACTGGGATTCCTGATTATAGTAACTTAATTAAAGCTCCTTAACAACAAGCCAGCAGCAGGCTGTCCACTTCCATGGGTGCCATGGCCAAGTAGCACAGCTTCGCAGCTCACTGATGCTGGAACAAAACTGCAGAGGCAGCGGAAGTCCCCGAAACTCAAAACCGTCTCAACCCCCACACCCGACGAAAGTCTGATTCGGAAGACACATTAGATGAAGCCCTGCATGAATTTGCTAAGTGATACTGGGTTACTATGAGCTAAGCCATCATACGGCTGATGATATAAATCCTGCAATACCCCATAGTAAGGAACATATACCATAATTCCCATAGTTT